CTCATGCACTCTAATCTCGTCTAAAAGCTTGAATACCACTTAACTAATTTGCTGGTTCGGACAAGGATAAAATCTTCAAATAAATTTGAAGCACACCTAATACCAAACAGATAGAGACTGAAATGGAATCGTGTGGGTTCTCTGATGAAATCACAAGATAGAGACTGAAATGGAATCGTGTGGGTTCTCTGATGAAATCACAATACCTAGGCATGCTTTGACAGGAGCAGTGACAAAACTAAATGTCTCACAAGAAAGATATAGCTGCGAGCCTGTGGTGATAATCTTTTAGACCTAATAGTTTGAAGGCTTTCAAGTTACATGCATATATATTAGGGAACTTTAACGAAAAGTTTCTGGTACTGTTCACTTTAACGAAAAACCACATTTTTACACTAAAAAGTCAATCCTAGTACTATTCACTTTATCATTTATTTTGTCTTTATTGTTAAAACTCAAAGTTTTCAAACCTTTTTCATTAGTTTTCCTTATATATTATCACTCAAGCACTCAAGCTTGCATGGCCAACCACATGTCCCTGAGTGCGTCCATTAGCTTGGTTACCCTAAGGGACCATCTGCATTGTCAATGCCAATAAAAGAGCCCTGACTTTCTAGGGTTTGAAGTTTTCTTGGTAGAATTAATGGCCAAAAACCAAACATTATTAGCATGCATGGACAAGTTGGTCTGGAAATATTTTAAAAGTCTCCGACGCCTTTATTCCCAGACAGTGGGACAAAGATTTGGCACACGTAATTGGTGGAAATTTTGGTATACAAAGTGAGAAAATTTTAGGGGAACTTCACTATGATCCAACTTTTCATTTCCCATAATTATCTTGCATGTTATGATGTTAAACTAGAAAACATGACGGTTTAATTTTTTACATGATATTGAACGTATAGCTACTGAATAACATGTATCCGACAAAAAATTAACTCTTTCCACAAAAATTAAATTTTAACATTTATATTATGAGGATACAAGCTTCTAGTATCCATTTTTTAAGAAAAAGAAGGTTAAGTCTACATATGTGAAAAATGCTTTTGATTATTCTACTGGATTTGATGTCACTAAAGATAGTAGTTTTATGATTGAATAATGATGATTAGCTTTAACAAGACCAGAGAGTTGGAGGAGATTGAAGTCAATATAACAAACAAATGAATCGGGTGTGCTTTCTCAATCAATCTCACAAACTCAAGGGACCGGAGAGGGAAGGTAAGTTGCATGCAAAGTTTTTATATACGTACGTGACGTGAGTTGGATTCTTTCAGAGACTCTGTTGTGCAAACGCGGTTTGACAATCGGCACCGACTTATTTTGTTCTTTCTCCAAGTTTTGTTACCCAGTCTCAGCTGTATGTTGTGTTGATAGTAAATCTTACGACAGAAAGTTAAAAAAAAATTTCATGGGTTTACTTTGCAATGTAAATTTTAGGGTGAAATCTCGAATATTTTTTATGACTTAGAATAGGTTGTCCAAGCTAAGTATAACGTCATCTCACTCATACGTGAATGGACGTATTAAAAGTGTGACTCCTACATCAGAATCTCTCTCATTATTTTTAATTAATTTTAAATTTAAACTTCTACTGAAAAATATTTCTCGGAACAAGATAAGAAGAAAAAAAAAGACAAACAAACAAAAACCTAGTCAATGACTGAAAGGTAAAGTAACATTTATTAAAAATATCTTCTTTTTTTTATTTTTCATTAAATCGCATCATCATGAAGTGTTGTGTTGCATGGCAGAAATAGTGTTACATAAATAATGAAAGTGTAGAGCGTTTGCCCACTATATATATTTTTATGGGGTTGTTGAAATTAGGTTAAAAATATTTGGCCCAACTTAAAATTAATTAAATACCCACATCAACCTGCATATAGCCACGACTTTGACAAAGTAATTAGCCCGACCATATGATCTCCACCGTCTTCAACCTACAGCTTTTAAATATTGCAGTGTGCCATGTATGTTTCATTTTTATTTTTTTCAAAAAAAAAGACTGGCTAGTGTCTTCGTTTTTCAGAAATTAGAAAGATTTGAAGATGCATTTTAGCCTCTTCATAATCATTATTGCTTGATTTACCAGTAACATAAATCGAATCCAAAATAAATTTGTGGAATGAACATTTTTGTTTCGTATAGCATGAAAATGAGATTCGAACTATGTCTTTAAATATTGAGAAAATAAATAATATAAAATTAAAAAGTCGTTTAATGGATTAGGTGGATTGAACTTTTTCGAGAGTAATGCTTGAGAAATCAAATTTTGTTAATTAAATTTTGTAAATCAAGTGATGTGAATGTTAATTATTAAATTATTATTTAAGAGTGATTAACATGTTTATTTTTATAGCCGGTATTGGGATGCACCAATAAATATTAAGGAAAACTAATGAAAAAAAACTTGAAAACTTTGAATTTTAACGACAATGACAAAATGAAGAGTAAAATGAATAATATCATAATTAATTTTTTAATATAAAAATATAATTTTCCGTTAAAGTAAATAATACCAAAAAATTTTCATCAAAGTTCTATAAATATTGCGAACTATTTTAGTTGTAACATGGAGCTCGATGGAACAGACTCAAATCCGTGTCTTGACTTGTCCCAATCAACCTTGCATAATATTGGAGGGTCACAAATCGAGAAAGGGTTGAGGGCAGATGGGCTAACCATCTACTTTTGGGGTATGAGAAAGGATAAAGGTTATGGGTCGACGTGGGCAATACTCTTGGGCCAATTTCTATAGCAGTAAAGAACAGATAAGTGAAGGCAAGATATTGGGAAAATTTGAACCTCTCAGGTATTCATGTGTTGAATAAAACAAAAGGTCCAACATCGATTATCTTACAAAACAAATTATAGTTCTACTTTTAATTGTGTTGAAGTCTTTTATATAAAAACCTCATGAGCAATTAAGTGTGGACAATATCGATACTATTAGTAGTGGACTGCGGTCTGTCTCTCTGAAATTTTAACATAGTGTTAGAGAGGGCTTTCAGATCTTGCCCAAATTATCGGGTTCACTTCCAAACATGACCGACGTAGCTCCACGTTTGGCCAACTCCAAAGTGGTCCGACGTGTTGAATAAAGCAAAGAGTCCCATGCCATCTTACATAACAAATCACAACTTATATCAAATGGTTCATCTTTTAATTGCATCGAGATCTTTTGCATAAAAACCTACACTTATTAATTGCACAGGTGATTAAGTGAGGACAATATCGATGCTATTAGGGTCACCATGACTTGTCTCTCTAGAACTTTAATATTTTTTTAATACATCGATATTTTGACACTAAGAGAGGGGGGAGTTCGGCTAAGCCACACAATATGCAACTTAATTTGGTATCGAATTCATTATCCACAATATTCGAGCCTAGGACCTCTCATTCAAAGTAAAAATAAATGCCACCAGTTGCATGGAACTTTTTATGTAACACTAATCTGTCTACTCCTATCTACAAAAAAAACATCTGGTAAAATTCATGGACTCTCTAACTCAAAATGTATGGTTCTAAATGTTTTCTTGGCATCTAGCTTTCATGTTGTGCGGTTCGTATTTTGCGTGAAAGAAAGAACTGAAACAAATCAATTAAATCAGATGAGGATCGAATCAAATCGTGTTCCAAATCCCTTCAAGATATTTACCGGTTTCGGTCGAGACACTGTTGGCACCAAAAAGGTACACCCGGCATGTTCTATGCTTTGCTTCTTCGCAACTCTAGACGACCATTTTGTGTATTGGCTTCGTAGTCAACTATGCTAGCAAGGTACTTGTCTAAATAGGGTTTGGCAACGTTCACATACGAACACTGTCAGAACCGTTTATTGATCTAATAATTCAAATGTATTCGCATGTCATATCCATTCGAATGCCGAAATTGCCCATCAAGAACTAGAAACTAGAGTGCATTGCATGAGAGATTTTCTTTCAAAACCAATGTATAATCTCATTGACATCGTCACTCTGTTAAATGTTATCGCATGTTCAAAACTTACTCTAACTATTCAACAAATATTTGTCATAAAACGTCATCGGTTACATGGTATTGCAATCATTCATGACATAACTTGAAGTGAGTTTACGCGATTGAAGGAGAGAGAGAGAGAGAGAGAGAGAGAAAGGAGGATGCATCTGTCGACATTTCTCCGACCCAAAAGAGAGGGGGTACAGAAAAGGCTGTAAACCCAGCTAGCCTAAACAGTAGAAAGATACCTTGTATTTCTAACTTGGATACTGAAAGCCTTGTCTTTTTTCCTCTGTCACTGTCCATTTGGAATTTATTGGCATCTGGCAAACGTACACTCAATTTTCGTGACTCATATGGATCACACACCAAATGGCAAATACAAGAAGAAAAAACAACAGTCCGATGTGAACTCGACAAAAGCATTATTTCGGAATGATTCGTTATTGTGATTCCAAGCAATTAGTTTCCTCTAAGCAATGCAAGAACTGTAGTGTGACATACATTTAGGGGTACAAACTAATTTCGACTCCAAATAATTCTGAAAACATTTCATCCGATTGGAATCCAAAATCGATAGTTTTAAAATTCAAAAAAATACAAAAATACAAGAAAGCAATTTGGATAGGAATTGAAATGCAATTAATAATTTGAATCCGATCTGAAATTTCAAAAGTTGCATCAATTTTGATACACACTTAATTATTGACTTGTTGACTTTGTACTTAAATATGTAACTATCTTTTTCAATTACAACTCTCTTAAATATATTACTCCCACAAAAGAATTGAGAACTATAAAATTTTATGGTTGCAGAGAGAGCCATGGGATGACATTTTTTTTTTCTTCTCTTGGTACAACTCCCATAATTTTGAAATGAAATAATCCAATTTCACAAATACCAAATTCGTCACGAGTATATGGAATTCAAATTTTCGATTCTGAAATTGAAATTGATATGCATTCACAAACCTTTTGAATTAGAAAAAGGGTGAATTATTGAACCGACAAGTCAGTACATTTAAATGATATATATATATATATATATTTTTTTTTAACAAACAATATTACACAAGTAGCTCCCGTGGCCCCAATTACTGCCTCTATTAGGCGACGACCACCTACACTAAAGGGGACTACTGCCTCTATTAGGTGACGAGAAACTTCATAAAGGGGAGGCGGGAAGTTTGACATTACAATGTACTAGCAATAATAAGGTTAAATTTACATTTAACGAGAATTGAATTTAGATCCTCTCATTATCGTATAAGCATAATTCCCCGGACAAAAAAAGCATATGGCATACACTTTCCACGTGTCACCATCTCACAATCCCGCTATTCACCTCCGTAGACCAAGTCCTCCGCCCCCTCGGCGTCGATGTCTCCGTCGGTTCCAATTCCATAAACCTCACTCTTCTACGACCCGTCGATGGTGGCGGCGTCGGCGTCCCCACCCTCATCTCCGAACCCGAACTCGAACTCGCCGACGACGACACACCCCCGCTGAAGCAGCCAAACAGATTCATGAAAAATCTCCTCAACCCACCGCTCTGTCTCCCTCTTCGTCCATTTCTTGACCACGAAATCCTCCTCGCAGCTCCGCCGCCGCTAAACCCGCCGTCCATCTCCGTATACACTACCGGCAGCTCTCTCTCAGCGCCTCTTCTCCCTCCGCTAAATCTCCCCACCGCGAATCCGCCCCCTGGCAGCCTCCAGATTGTCAGACCCGCGTTTTCGTCCTCCTCCTGACCTCGACCCTGACCCGTAGCGGGCGTCGAATCGGCCGGTAGCTCGTGCCTGCATACCGGACATGAATTCCGGAGCGCAAGCCACGGCTGTATACAATCGGAGTGGTATATATGCTTGCAGGGCATTTCCTGAGCTTCGGTGTTAACTTCGAACGGTTCTTTACAAACGGCGCAGTGATGCTCCGCCGTTATGTGAGCCTCATCGAGCTTGATCGTCGGCATTGACTCAATCGCCGACTTCGACGCCGGTCTCTGCTCGCATCGCCCCATTCCATTGATTTCGAACTGCGATAGCTGTTCGAGTAGGCGGTCGAACCCAGACCCGAGTAGAAATTCGGACATGGTTGTAGGCAAGGATCGGAGCCCAGAGCCGCTACCATCGTCGTAAAAGAGCTCATATCCGCGGCCTTCCTCGGTGGTGACGGCTCCTTCGGCCGTTGTTCCGCGGAGGACGATTACCGGATTGAACGGCGAGCGGTCACCGTTGTTTCGTCTAACTCTTCGGGGGGCGGACGGAACAGAAGCAGTATGATCCGGACGGGAAACCGAGCGGTTGTTGGCTCCAATCATGTACATCGCGGCAGCTGAAAACCTCCTGCCGCGGCGCGAGTCCACGTTTCCGGAGGTGGTCGGGTTGTCTATCTCCTCAACAAAGCCACTCTCGCAGTCCGAGCACACCACTGAGGAGGATAGGGCGGAGGCGGTGGAGATTTCGGCGTCGTTGAAAACCCTAACGAAGCGCCTGCAACTGTAGCACCAGTAAGACGGAGTCGCCGCGGACATGCAGAGAATTAATCAACGCTCCCTCAATCGGAAAACAAAACTCCGCCGTTGAAAGTCGGAATCGGAACGAAATTCGATCCGAGAAAATGCGAATCTTCCCAATCGTAAATTATTGTTTGGGAGACGGGAAAATGGACAAAAACCCCGAGAGAAAGTTTTGTAAAGGTTTCTTTTTTTGGGGAAGGTCAAATTTGATATTTTGCGTGTTGAGAAAACGAAGACAGAAAGATTTATGGAGGTAGTAACGGCAAAACCGCGCGGTGAGAACTCTCGCAAGTTACTGACACGTAACGACGTTTAGTCAGCGTTAGATATCAGTCGGTCGAATTTTGGAGGAGACGGCGCATTTCGAGGATGAAACGGAACGGAGTTTCAGAAGCCGCGGGAATAGAGGCCTGCGCCGAGCCGGCACGAAATCTATAGGCTTGAAAGCTTCACATTGTTCTAAACAGTAAACTGGCTGACGTGGGGAGACTTTTCTTAACTGGGATTTTTTTTTAAATTTATTTTTCTATTGTTATTCTATTTATGGGGAAAAGGAGTTTTTTCAGTTTTTTTTTTAGGTTGAAAAGTGTAATTTCAGTTGGAGTACACAGAATAGAGTTAGGTAAATTGAAATGTGTTAAATTTCTCTTGTAAGATCCATTTGTTACTCATTTTGTAATTTCTCTTATAAGATCATTTACATGCATTTGAATTTGGGTTTGAGAGTGTACTTGTGGCAGATACTATCCATTTAAATAGTAAATTGTGAACAATTACTGTCATAACAGTTATAATTCACCAAATTATTTTAATAGTTGAGGTTAATTTAGAATATGTTGATATGATTATGCTACTCTGCATCCATTTTTAATGGTATTTACCATGGATCTGGATTTGGGGCTAAAATCAATGTGGCAGATGGCAACGCTCCATTAACTACGGTGTGTGAAATGTGATATTTATTTTTTCGTCCTAACTAAGGATGCAATTTGGGTTGGGCCAATCCGAAACTACCCATGTCCAACTCGACTTTAAACCCGAATAAGTGGGTTTTTTTGAGTTATAACATGCCCGAACCCAACCCAATTTCAACCCGTTCATTAATTGGGTTGAGTTGGGTTCATTATTTGCCCATCCATCCCCAACCCAACCTAACCCGACTAACCAAACCCAATCTAACCAGATTGTAACCCATATCAATTAATGATCATACTACACCCAAGTGAGCCAAGTCCAAAAACCAATGCACTTTATAATATTCTTTTTAATAAATTACCCTTTATAATTATTTAAGTTTTTAGGAAATAAGAGGCTTTGATTAGTTAGCCCATATTTGTAGTCTCTAAATCCTAAAGCTTTATAGTAGATGGATTTATTAAATTAAAGTTAGCTAGCCTTGATGCTACTTGACTTAATTTTTTTAGGAATTCTTGGAAACTAAGTTATTACAAGATTAAACTTGAAAAAGTTGGGCAACCCGAACCCAACCCAAGTAACCAAATGAACCAAAATGAAACCCAACCGGAATGCGAGTCTGAATTGTAAAAGTTGGGTTATGATTGAATTGATCTTCCAACCTGTAACATCCCACATCGCCCAGGGGAGTGATCCTTAAATGTATATTCCTATTCCTACCTAGCACGAGGCCTTTTGGGAGCTCACTGGCTTCGGGTTCCATCGGAACTCCGAAGTTAAGTGAGAAGGGGGCTAGAGCAATCTCATGATGGGTGACCCATTGGGAAGTTGCTCGTGAGTTCCCAAAAACAAAACCGTGAAGGAATGGTAAGCCCAAAGCGGACAATATCGTGCTACGGTGGTGGAGCGGGCCCGGGAAGTGGTCCCGCCCGGGTCGGGATGTGACAATTTGGTATCAAAGCCTAACCCTGGTCGCGTGTGTGTCGACGAGGATGTCGGGCCCCTAAAGGGGGTGGATTGTAACATCCCACATCGTCCAGAGGAGTGATCCTTAAATGTATATTCCTATCCCTACCTAGCACGAAGCCTTTTGGGAGCTCACTGCCTTCGGGTTTCGTAGGAACTCTGAAGTTAAGCAAGTAGCGCGCGAGAGCACTTCCAAGATGGGTGACCCATCGGGAAGTTCTCGTGTGAGTTCCCAGAAACAAAACCGTGAGGGCATGGTCGGGACCCAAAGCGGACAATATCGTGCTACGGTAGTGGAGTCGAGCCCGAGAAGTGGTTCCGCCCCGGGCCGGGATGTGACATTTGGTATCAGAGCCTAACCCTGGTCGCGTGTGTGCCGACGAGGAAGTCGGGCCCCTAAGGGAGGTGGATTGTGACATCCCACATCGCCCAGGGGAGTGATCCTTATATGTATCTTCTTATCCCTACCTAGCACGAGGCCTTTTGGGAGCTCATTGGCTTCGAGTTCAGTAGAAACTCTGAAGTTAAGCGAGAAATGGGCTAGAGCAATCCTATGATGGGTGACCCACTGGGAAGTTGCTCGTGAGTTCCCAAAAATAAAACCGTGAGGGAATGGTAAGCCCAAAGCGGACAATATCGTGCTACGGTGGTGGAGCGGGCCCGGGAAGTGATCCGCCCCGAGCCGGGATGTGACACAACCCGCCCAACTCACCGGAGTTGCACCCCTAGTCCTAACTATTAAATAAAATTGGTTGAATACTTTTATTTAAAATTAAAAATTTTAATTTCTTTTTGTTATTTTCCTTAAACATTGGGTTGCTTGCCGCACGTGAAATCTTTTCAAAATACACCAAAAATGGTTTACTTTATTTTTTTTCCGCATTGGTATATTTTTTTTCCGTATTGATATATTATTTTTATGTGAAAATTGTTGTATGCCCCATTAAATTTGTTTGACTTTTGGGCATGCCCCATTAAAATACACCAAAATGGTTACTAACTATTAATATAGCACAACGTTTTTATTTATTTTTTTATAGAATAGCACAGTGTTTTGGTAGTGTATGTTGCTGACTTTTATTTTATTTTGTGGAGAAAAAAACCAAAATAAAACATATAATAAAACACTTATAAAGAATAGAAACATTTATTTCAGTTCAAACATAAAAACATATACAAAAATTATTACGTATTTTTCACTAAATACTACGACTTGATGATATTTCTCTTTATTTTAAGTGAAATATCCTAAGGTTCGATTCTCGTCAAATGCAAATTTGAATCATATTATTATTAGGCCAATGCAAGGCAAAGCCCACTATTTTGGCAAGAATAAAATCACATTATTACTAACTCATTACAAAACTAAGCCCACTCTTCTTATTTTAATGTTGATAATATCGTTTGTTTTAAAAATTCGTCTATATTTCTATACTTTCTGATCTATTGCTAATATGCAATCCAACTGGAGCGAGCTCCGAGTGAGTGGCGGCTCGGCCTAAGATGCAACGTGGTTACGGCTAAGGAGCTGAGTCATCATTTGAACTGGTTCGTTGTCCAACACGTCATCATCATTTCGTCACATCGCATGCCTCTTTGTCTTCTTTCCATTAAACGCTGCGTTTGCTTCCATTCATTATTCATTTTGTATTCTTTGTCACTAGAAAGCAAATATTTCAACAAAAAAATTACTTTAATTTTTTACGACAAATAAATAAATAAAATATCGTTTTGTATGTTAGTCAATAATATTTGTTTTGACAATGTCAATTTTGATAGGGTCAGATGCTCTTTTGTTTGTTCAAATCTTTAATATTTTCAATTAAAAAAGAATGGTGACAAAAAATACGAAAATTATTTTAGGTTCGGACTAAGCCTAAAAAATCAAATACCAGCTACCAATATTACGGCCCAAGGTCTGGCCCACTCTATAAATCCTCCAAAATAAGTCATCATCATTTGATCATCAATCACAAATCAAAACAATAGTAAAACAAACAAACCCAAATTAAGAATATAGTTAATTTAACCCTAGAGACTGTCTTTTATATCATATTTGCAGACTATGTAATGTGATGGTTGATGGTTGGATTATTCCTTAAAATCGTTGAAAATGAAATCCAACCATCAACAACTGCATCGTTTGGTTACAAAATATGATATAGAAAAATGATCTTTCTATCATTTTCGTTTTGATTAATTAGCAATTCAAAGTCCCAAAATCAGTTGCAATCAAAATCATCGGCATTTACAATCATATACTTTATTCAACAATTCAAGAAATAATAATTAATTAACCAAATACAAATTAATTTACCCCAACTAAACTAATATTACTTCATACGTCAACACACGGCAGTCCACAAAACAAAGAAGTTCATCTTATTCTTTCATCGTCTTAGGGTTAAAGATACTCACCATCTTCCTAAACTGATCGCCAAACGAAGTATACGAAACGGTCCCATCGTTTCCAGCAAGCACTTTGTACTTGTCCTTCCTTGTGAAGTTGGTGCACTCAAACCCTAACGTGGAGGCCAAGATCCTCTGCACGTAATTCGCAACATCATGAGGGCTTTTCCCAGATGAACACGTGGCTTCCACAGGCAACTGGTTCAAGAACGTAACTTCGTAAACTGGCCTAGGGTTCATGAAGAAGAATATGGGATCCAAAGCTTTCCAGCCCCTTGCTGTCGTTGCATGGAAAAACCCTACCCTGTAGTTCATGGCCACCGGGACGATTCGGTTTGTAAGCTCAGCAAAGAGTGCACTAAACCTCAAAAGAAAAGGTTCACGGCACGTCGTTCCTTCGGGGCAAACCACCAAGTCCCCTTTGGTTAGTTCAAGCTTGATTCTCTCAGCATCGACGTGCCGAACACGAGTTAATCGAACGGTGGGGATTGGGGATAGGAGCTCTGATAGTCGAGAGATAGAGTATGTGACTGCTGGAATCCTACGTTTGAGTACGGTGGAGAGTACAACGGGGTCCATTAGGGTTCGGTGAGTGCAGACGAATAGCACGCCCGAGTTTCCACCGGAGAAGGGCGGTGGTGGTCTGCCTTTCACAATGACTTTACCACCAAATAGTTGAGACGTGTAGGGTATAGCCCTCATTGGCAATATCAATCCCATGAATAGGCGAATGAAGGCAAGTGAGATGCCTAGGGGCATCCATAGGAGGATTAAGAGGGCGGTTGAGGGCGTAGGCCGCTTGACTAGCCGGCCGTCGTGGAAGATCACCGGGAGTGGTCGGAGGACTTGCTGTTCATCATGCTTTTTGTTGGTGATCATAAATGGTGGGTGGATTTGTTCCTGCAGTAACAAGCCAAGCATGCATAATTTACTTCATTAGTACCACACCAAGATAATTTACTAAATTAGTAAGTATGCATCGTTATGGTATGTGTTGATAATAGTACCACACCAAGATAATTTACTAAATTAGTAAGTCTGCATCATTATGGTATGTGTTGATAATGAATAGAACAAATGGTTCAGATCCAATATGTATATATTATGTATCACGTCATTAGTTAATAATACTATTCATTTCAAATATGCACGCACCTTGCATAAGGATACAAATGAAGAACCGGATGATGAAGGCCTTCCCAACCCTAATGTCGGTTGTTCCTCATCCACAAACAGCTTGGCCACTCGACTGTATATGTCAACTTCACCTTTAACAAAGCCGGTGGCAAACCCAAATCGGTTTACAAGAAGCTCACTGCCAATAACTTCATCAGCTCTCAAATGCTCCTTCACAAACCTCTCCACCATAATCCTTGGCATCTTAGTCACCACAACCCTCTTATCATATGAGCTAAACACTTTCCAAGCCTCCATATCCAAATCATCC